CCCTCCCCCTTCATTGAGAAGGCAAGCAATTAGATATAGATTATACATGTGCAGTCATGCAAAACATTTCCATATTATGTGATAGAAAATGCAGACTAAAAACCCCTCCCCAAGAAAAATAAAGTAAAAAAAAAAGTATAATTTGATCTGCATTCGAACTCCCATCATCCATTTTTCTTGAGATGGGTAGCATTTTTTAATCATAAGTCTTTTGGAATTGTCTTTGATCATTGTATTGCTGAGAAAAGCTAAATCATTTATAGTTGATCATCATACAGTATTGCTGTTACTGCGTGTAATGTGTTCCTGGTTCTACTAATTTCATTTTGCATCAGTTCATGTAAGTTTTCCCAGGTTTTTCTGAGAGTATCCTTCTCATCAATTTTTTTTGTGGGGGGCAGTTGGGGTTAAGTGACTTGCCCCAGGGTCACACAGCTAGTAAGTGTCAAGTGTTTGATCTGAGTCCGAATTTGAACTCAGGTCCTCCTGACTTCAGGGCCGGGCTCTATCCACTGCGCTACCTAGCTGCCCCATATCATTTCTTATAGTACAACATTCCATCACAATCATACCACAACTTGTTCGGCCATTCCCTAATTGATGGGCATCCCCTCAATTTCCAATTCTTTGCTAGCACAAAAACAACTGCTGTAAATTTTTTTGTGCAGATAGGTCCTTTTCCTTTTTGTTTTTTTATCTCTTTAGGATACAGACCTAGTAGTGGTATTGCTGGGTCAAAGGGTATGCATGATTTTATAGCCCTTTGGGCATAGTTCAAATTGCTCTATGGAATGGTTGAATCAGTTCTAAGCTCCACCAATAATATATTAATGTCTTTTTTCCCACATTCTCTCTACCATTTGTCATTTTCCTTTTCTGTCATATTAGCCAATCTGATAAGTGTGGGATCGTACCTCAGAGTTGTTTTAATTTGCATTTTTCTAATCAATAATGATTCTTGATATGACTATAAATACCTTCAGTTACGTCGTCTGAAAACTGCCTATTCATATCCTTTGACCATTTATCAATTGGGGAATGGGTCTTCTTTTTATAAATCTGATTCAGTTCCCTATATCTTTGAGAAATGAGGCCTTTACCAGAGAAACTTGCTGTAAATTTTTTTTGTAGATGATTATTAACTGTGTATTTCCCTCCATCCTATTTTCCCCCCTGTTTATCCTACTGTCTTTCTCCTTTTATTCTGTCCATTCTCATAAGTGTTTTGCTTCTGAGTACTGCCTCCCCCAGTTTGCCTTCCCTTCTATCACCCCTACCTTCCTTCTCTTATCCACTTCCCTTTCTGCTTTTCTGTAGGGTAAGATAAATGTTTATACCCAACTGAGTATGTATGTTATTTCCTCTTTGAGCCAGTTCTGATCAGAGTAGGGTTCAAGTGCTGTCCCCCACCTCCTCCATCTTCCCTTCCACAGTCAAAGCTCTTTTGTACCTCACTTATGTCAGATAATTTATCCCCTTCTACCTCTCTCTTTTCCCTTTTCCCAGTATGTTCTTTTTTTCTCACCTCTTATTTTATATTTATATACCATCCCATCATATTCAGCTCGTACCTGGGCCCTCTTTTACGTATACTCCTTCTAACTGCCCAAATAATGAGAAAGATTTTAGGAATTTCCAATTACTCCTGCTCTATGGGAGGTCTCTTGTAACAACATAAAGTAACAAAGTAAAACTAATAATACAACAATCTAGTGAAAGTTGCTGCAACATTTCACATCTGTTAGGTTCTCCCCCCCCACCTTATTTATAAAAAAAAAATCTATTTTTTCTTCTCCCCTCCCCTAATGCCGTTTAAAAAAAAAAGCACATTTCTCGTATATTTAATACATAGTCAAGCAAAACAAATTCACCCAAAGACTGTGGAGTGTGTATTCTGCACCTAGTGTGTTTCATATTAATCCTCTGGAATTATGAGTGGTCATCCACTTTCATAGTGGTTTGTTTTCACCCTATGTCAGTTCATATTTGTCTTTCCTTGTCTTTTTTGAAATTGTTTATTTTCTCATTTCTTAGAGCATCGTTACAGCATGTATTCAATTACATTCACATACAACAGCTTATTCAGCCATTCTTTAATTGTTGGACAGCCTTTTAGTTTCCAGTTTTTTGCTCCTGCAAAAAGAGCTGTCAAAGGATGTGCACTGTTTAAAAACTTTTTGTAGATAATTCAAAATTTCTTTCCAGAATGGTTGTACCCATTCATAGGTTTACCAATGTCAGTGTGCCTGTTTTCCCATAGCCTCAACATTTATCATTTATATTTTTGTCATCCTTGCCACTAATGGTGATAGAATTTTAGATTTGCTTTAATTTTATTTCTCCAATTAGTAGTAATTTTGAGCATTTTTTATATGACTATGAATAGTCTTCATTTCTTCCCTTGAGATTGTCTGTTCATACTCTTAGACCATTCACTAATTGGAGAGTAGCTCTTTTTTTAAATTATGAATTTGAACAAATTCCTTATGTATCTTGGAAATTAGATCAATTATCAAAGACACTTGCTGCAAAGATTTTTTTCCCCAGTTGTTTCCTTTTTAATTTTTATTTTATTTTGTGCAAAAACTTTTACATTTCATGTAATCAAAATCATCCATTTTGGTACTGCTTAAGGAACCAATTGATCAGTGGGACTGAGTAGGTTTGCAACATATAGAAGCAATATTATAATTTGATAAACATTCAAGAGTCCAGCTATTGTGAAAGGGAATCATTGACAAAATTTGCTGGGAAAATTATATAGCAGTATGGTAGAAAATAAAAAAGAAGATACTTAATGACGAGGAAATTGGAGGCTATATACAAGAATAATATAGACTAGAATAGACAATTGTCTTTCTGAATTGTTAAACAAGTACACCAGTAGATGGCATAGTCATCTGTATCAAATAGAATTTTGATCTCATTGATTCAATTGTATTTTCGGATCATGCATATCATAACCTAGCTATTTCTGTTCATCCTCTGGAATTATTGTCTATATCTTCCCATATTTGCCACTGAGAATTCATCCAGTGTGCTTGGGGGCCTTCAAGTAAATTCAGTACTCCTTAATATAAATTTTTTTTGGCCTGAAAATAGTCTGTTCAAAATTATTGTTTTAGGTTACTATTTCTGAATCTATTTCTCCACTGCCAGCCTATCCCATCCCTTGTACCAAAGCATGAAAAAAGAGAGGAGGAGGGAAAAAGCAATTCAGAAAAATTAGCCAACGTGAATTAACAGTACATAGTCACTGTATGATATCCATAATCCCTTACCTTTGCAAAGAAGGGAATGAGGTTCATTTTCTCATCTCTTTTAGGGACAGTCTTATTTCTTACAATTAAATATCATTTAGTTTCTTTTTATCGTTGTTCTTTCCATTTTCATCATTATCATTGTGTATGTTGGTTTCCTGGTTCTATTTATTTACTTTGTATCAATTCATGTAAGTCTCACATGCTTCTATGAATTCTTCCTGCAGTGATATTATTCTGTTGTATTATTTAGCTTTCTTCATTTGTCCATTCTACGATTGCTGAGCATCTGCTTTGCTTCCTATTCTTTCCTGCCAAAATTATTTTTATGTATTTGGGATCTTTCTTCCTTTGATTATAGCTTTCTAGGAGTGGCATCTCTGGCCCATAGGGTATGGACTTTTTTGGTCCTTTCTTAATGTAATTCCAAATTGCTTTGCAGAGTGGTTGGACCAGTTCACATGTCCACCAATAGCTTAATGCTGTGCCTGGCTACCAGTAGCCATTCCTAACCATCTTTTGTCTTTGCAAATTTGCTGGATGTGAGGTGAAAGCTTAGATATAACAAATTCCTTGATGAGACTCTGATAGAGGGCAGTAGTTGAACAGAAAGTACCAAATGCTAGGTAAGTGCAAAATTATTTATTGATATCGAATACATTACGTATTTCCTTGTTCCATCCTCCAGTCACCTACTGATTAAATTTCATATTTCCATTTGTCACAGGCATATTGTATTTTTAAAACAAATTTTAAAGGAAAATGAATAAAACCAGTCAAGAAATTGAAAACAATTGACAGCATAAGCCATGTCTCTCCATCTCTGCAAAGAAATAGGGAAAAGTGTCCTTCCTTAGCTCTTCTTTGAGGCCAACTTTTATTTTTTATGATTTTGTAACATTCATTTTTGATTGTTTTACGGTGGTGGTTCTTCCATTTGCGTTGTTGTAGTCATGCATATTGTTTTCATCCTTCCTCTTTAGTTTGCATTGGTTCATATTAGTCATTTGTGTTTCTCTGTATTAATTAAATTCATTGTTTCTTACTACACAGTAACAATCCATTGCATTTATGTACCACAGTTTGTTTAGCCATTGTCCAATTGATGAGCCTCTGCTTTTCCAGTTCTTTGCTACCATAAAAACCACCTTAAATATTTTGGGTCTTTTTATCAGTGATGTCCTTGGGGTGCATGCTTAACCATGGAATCTCTAGGTCGAAGTATATAGACAATTTAGTCACTTTATTTGCATAAATCCAAATTGCTTTCTAGAATTGTATTAATTCACAGCTCCACCAACAGTGCATTGGTATTCTGTTTTTTCCACAACCCTTCCAACATTAACTAATCCTGTCTCTTATCATCTTTATCGATTTGCTGGATATGGGGTGAAATCTCAGAAAAAAATTTCTTGATTAGACTCTTCGACATATGGATTATTTATTGGGATTGAATACATTATATATCTTCCTGTCCCATTCTCTCTCCACAACCTACAGTTGATTAACTTTCTTAATTACATTTGTCATAAGCTCATTTTAAAATGAATGTGTATTTTCTCTGTGTATATCTATTGATGTATGATTATATAACAGCTAGGTGATGGGGGAAACTTGTCTAGAACTAAGGCATTTCTAGGTGGTGATCCACTAAGTAGATAATCTCTTAGTAGATATGTTAATTGTACAACTATTCTCTACCAATCAGTAACTTAGATTTTGTTTATACTTTTTCTGTAGGAAGCTATATTGAAATATAATGTTGCATATGCCAAGAAGTGGGACTTTACAGCTTTGGTCGACTTCTGGGATAAGGTAAAGTATGTTTGTAGTGTAGTAATCACTGTAAGCAGCTGAAAAGTGTCACAATTTGCTTCTTCTGTGTTCCATAATTTTCAGCTATCCTAGTTGATCAAATACACTGCTTGCTCATACGGTAACAACATCTACTTTGGTATGCTACTGCAAATTAATAATTTTTCCTCATTTCTTTGCATGGCTGTAAATCAAGATAAATTTTATATAATTTTGATTGCCTACTAATCAGTCATGAATCCATATAGTTTTATTAATTCTCTTATGCATTTGTTCATTCAGAAACGATTTATTATATCCACTATGTTTACAGCTAATGTATTCTGAACTTTTGGAAGATGCTGGCATCCTAAAATTGTAGGTTTTTGAGCTGAAAGGGGCTTTACATATCTTCTAGCCAAGCTTCCGTGTTTTACGCATGAAACCCAGAGAAGTTCAATGCCTTGTCCATAGTCACACAGGTCATCCCATAGCTAGGATTTGAATCCAAGTTCTGTGATCCTAAATCCATTATGTTTTTTATTATACCGTACTGTGGTTAGGAAAATGATATTTTGTTAAGAGTTTAGGCAATTTGTATTTGAGCTTATTAGAATCATTATGATAAGCACCCTGTTCATCTTTTAAAAGTTTTATACACTAGTATTTTTTCTGTGATGTCACTGTGTGGATTACCAGTTTGTCTTCTAAGACTCTTGGAGCCAATAGGAATATATAGAGAGGGAGTAAAAGTATTCCAAAATGAAGCAAAGAAGGCAACTAAAAGTGGCATAAATTGTATTAGTTATAATATTTTATACTTAATACATATGTTATGAAAAACAAGAAATAAGGAAATATATTTTAAAGCTTTTGCCCTTGGGTTTCTTTCATGATTGTTTTCATTAGCTCAGAAGACATTTGCAAAATATAAATTTCTTTTTTATGTGATCTTTTTGGGATACAGACCTAGAAGTGGTATTGTTGGGTCAAAGGGTAGGCACAATTTTATAGCCCTTTGGGCATGGTTCCAAATTGCTCTCCAGAATGGTTGGATCAGTTTACACTTCCACCAACAATGCATTAGTGTTCCAGTTTTCCACATCTTCTCCAACATTTATCATTTTCCTATTTTGTCATGTGAACCAGTCTGACAGGTGTGATATGGTTTTGATTTAGAGCATTTTTTTAGTATGACTATAGATAGCTTTAATTTCTTCCTCTGAAAACTGCCTGTTCATGTCCTTTGACCATTTATCAATTGGGGAATGACTTGTATTCTTATAAATTTGACTGAGTTCTCTATATATTTTAGAAATGAGGCCCTTATCAGAGACACTACCTGTAAAAATTGAATTTTTCCCAGCTTCCTGCTTCCTTTCTAATCGTGGTTGCATTGGCTTTGTCTGTGCAAAAACTTCAATTTAATGTAATCAAAGTCATCCATTTTGCATTTCATAACGTTCTCTGTCTCTTGTTTGGTCATAAATTCTTCTCTTTCCATAGATCTGATAGGTGAACTATTCCTTGCTCCTAGTTTGCTTATATCAGTCTTTATATCTAAATCACGTACCCATTCTGACTTTATCTTGGTATAGGGTGTAAGATGTTGGTCTGTGCCTAGTTTCTGCCATACTATTTTCCAATTTTTCCTGCAGTTTTTGTTAAATAGTGAGTTCTCGTCCCAATAGCTGGAACCTTTGGATTTATCAAATAGTAGATTACTGTAGTCATTGACTGTTGTGTCTTGCATACCTAACCTATTCTGCTGGTCTGCCACTCTGTTTCTTAGCCAGTTTTGATGCTTGCTGCTTTATTAATGCAATTTAAGATCTGGTACAGCTAGGCCATTTTCTCATTAGTTCTGTTGATATTCTGGACCTTTTGTTCTTCCAGATGAATTTTGTTATTGCTTTTTCTAGCTCTGTAAAATGATTTTGATTGGTGTGGCAACTGAATAGGTAAATTAATTTAGGTAGAATTGTCATTTTTATTATATTAGTTTGGCCTACCCATGAGCAACTGATATTTTTTTTTAACCTTTGAAACAATATTCTATGTCCTTTCTTTCAAAATGCTCACATAAGGTCTTCCCTGCAAATCATATTGGTAAGGTGGCTGTTGAGGAGGATTATATTGTAGGAGTAATTATCCTAGTGACTACTGTAGTGAAGCTTTTGACGTCTTTGGATGTCATCAGAACTTTCCAACTTTAGTGGGATTAATTTTATTACTACAAACAGGTGGATTTATCAGTGGCAAAAATTAGAGGTTCAGAATGGAGACTGCTGGAATCTTCAAGAGGTCTTAACTTTAAATGAGTCAAGTTCTTTTAATTGTTTGAAGATATTTATGGTACTTTATTCTTTCTGTGCCAGACTTGGATACATCAGTAGATTCATGATCTTACTCTACTGGTTGAGGTTACAGTACCCTTTGTAGTCCTTGTTTACATCTTTCTAGACATCCATCATAGGATCTCCCCAATGTACTAGTGACTTTCCTATGGTCTTTTTCCTCTTTGGTGAGCACCGCATAGCACTCAGATTAACCACCTACTGTCATTTACTCTAGCAACCTATCTGGCTTTCCTAGAATTGATGTCTTTTGTACTATCTCTTTTATGCAAGTCATGTTGGTCATATACTTCAGCCTCCTTTTAATCATTTTAACCATTTAATTCTTTTTTGTTGTTGTTGTTACATTTCCCTTCAGGAACTTGTAATTTTAAATCTGAGATGGTGGTCTATGATTTATAATCTTATAGCATCATTGGAAGAATCATGGTATAAAAAGATGACCTTTTGTAGCAGCAAGCAATTTGGGATCATAAAAATGGCGCATACTTTCCCAAACCTATAACAAAGTTTTCCCATTTAATTCTTATCCTAGATCATTGTCCATTTGTGTGTCCTAAGAGTTATACATACTGGTGTGTAACATATTGATAATGTGTGCTAAGTGCTTTGTAAACCTTAAAGTGCTATATAAATGAGCTGCTATTATTATATACACTTAATGGACTAACTCAGTGGGCTTCTTGTCCATCTTCATGTTATAATCTATGCAATCATATGCCTTCATTTTGGTGTTGTAGACTGAAAAGTTAGGCCAATATCTTTTGAATGTATCATATTTTTAAAAGTAACATAAATATATGAACCATTTTATAGAAAAGATCATTGAGCATGTTTGTAAATAATATTACATATAAATTTGAACTTTTGCAGTACTGAACTGAAGAATGAAAGTGTCACAGAAGCATGATATAATTCAAAGCATTTGGAGTAAATATTTTCTCTTATCTGCTGTGTTGGTACTGCAATCACTTGCTACATCCTGGCAGATGTCAGACGGTGTCAAGGGTGCAATAACTAGGTTTTCCACTGGTTGTCTTTCATCCTGATGTTGGCAGATTAATGCATTTTAATATCTCTCCTGCTTGCTTTGATTGTCTTAATTGACCTTTAACCATCAAAAGTCAAGGTCCATTTTTATAGTAATACTTGTAAAATCCAAACTAATCTATCATCTTTGTAGTATCAGTAATTTTGGGTCTGGTTTATTGAGCTTTTGGCATGTATGATGCTGAAAGGTGGGCATAAAATACATAATTCAGGTTTTCAGTCTGTTGGAATATTAGAGAAGGAAATATGTTTTCACAGTAAATTCCTAAACCTTGCTTTTACAAGGGTCTTATTTTTGATACTACAGAATTTTCAAGATTTAGCCTTGAGATTTTCTATTTATTGTTTTTTAAAAAGAAGTTTAAAAAAAATTTTTTTTTCTGATGATACTAATGTCAACAGAACATAAGAAAAATGCAGATGGTCCGTTTGCATTTTGTTATCTTCCAGGCCAAAATTGAATATTGTGATTTACTTTTCTGGGAAGATAATATTAAATTTGATACTCTAAAGTGGCAGTAAAACATGCCACCGACTAAAATATTATTGGAACCTTCCTGTGAGTTAAAGCAATCATATTTTCTCTCCTTAATCAAGAATGCTCAGAACATGGTTGCCTTTTCCATTAGTATGGTGACCTTGTGCAAAAATGATTGCTGCATTCCTCTAAGAGTAAAGGTACAAGAAGTTTTGATAAGTTTAGTGTAAGAAAGTGTAAGAACAGATGTGAGTGTATTACCATGATGCTTATACTATTTTATAACTCTATGGAGATGAAAGTCATTGTTTCTGTAGAGATTGAGCTACATATTTCTTGGTCATTGCACATTGACTATTTTTCACCTTATCCACATTAATGATAGGTTGTCCTGCCTAAAAATGAAGAGATTATTAAAATTTTGTTTATATCAAAGATAGAAGGTAGAATAGGAAAAGACTTGAAATATTTGATTCACCTTCATTTGTTTACGTCTTGCATCTGATTTCTAGATGAGTAGGACCGAATGCTGACAATTGACAGCAAAAGAGAACATTATTGTTAGGTAGATTTAGTGAAAAGAAGCTCTCCTTTTCAGTTGTAGATGTCTTAGCATCAGATGCTGTTTAGTCTTTTAAAAAATTTCATCTAAGTGGGATTGGAAGAAGAAAACTGATTTGGTTTGGGAGGACAATTGTTTAGTTAGGGTTTTTTAAGTTCCTAAATAGTCTCTTTTGGTGACTATTTAGTATTATGTGTGTCTACTTGCTGGAGTGCAAGTGCTTACTTCTCATTTAATTGCTCTTAAATTTTGCCCATTAGCACAACAGTTTATCACTTCAATGTCCCAGTAAATAGAATAAAGAAAATGTCAGATAAATATCAAATCTAGTGTGGTACTGTTCATCTAATTTTGGAATGAAATTTATTTTGGTATTGATTAGTGTTTTGAAAAGCTTTACTTTTGTTTTATTTTGATTTGAGTGATGGATTCTGTAACTAATGCCAGCTTTTAAAACACCAAGCTATTTAAGATTATCTACCATTTATTTTGAATTTATAGGTACTGGTCACATTTATCATGATATCCCCAAGGTGAAGGTAGCAGAATTTTCCTATGTTAATATATTCATTTG